ACACACACACACACACACACACATATATATATATATCCAGGTCAAGATGATGAACACAACCATGCCACTGAAGCCTCACACCTTTTTGATAGGCATCATGACACAGGTAACAAGAGCTGGCCTTCAGTGGCATGGTGGCCATCTTGGGTCCCTCCCTCTGGACAGCTCTTTGACAAGGACTGAGGTAGTCTTACAGATCTGAGGGTATTTTGTTGACCTTTAATTTTTTTTTATGTGTGATAGTTTAGAGACAAGGCTCGACGGACTGATTTATTCCATTATAATATCAGTAATGTCATGGCCCCACTTCATTTCCAAAGGAGGCAGCAGATGAAATCCTTTCATTTGGGTGGTACCTGCTCACAAGTCCATCAGGTCACTCCAGGAGTGAAGGGAGTCTGCAGTAATAAAAGACGCCGTGAATCTATATTTCAGCTGATTAGAGAAAAAGCCTTGTTGGATTGTTCTCATCATACACAGTTTGGGAAGTTTGTTAAGCCTGTAGAAGGCTGCAAGATTGTTAAGCTGTAACCCTACACACAACTTCTCAGAGGATACAGGATGTTAGCTGCATTGCATAGCATCTAGTGCTGCCTGTTTTTGAGTCAGTGTATAGAATGTTGCCCCAGTCAATAGAACCTAATATCAACAGTGTCCTCTTTTTTCATTTAGGGCTTCTTATTGCTCTACGGCTCTCAGAATTCTGAGCCCCAGATTTGATGAACTGACCTCTCCTTTCAACAAGGCTCTGTATTTCATCTTTTACAACTGTGAGTAGCTGTTAATTATTTATGGGATAAGTCACAATATTTGGAGTAGGCTCACCTGCTCCTTTGCTCAAGTGATCCATTATGTTCCAAGTGAAAAGGAATCACCTTATTGCAGGGGTCTTCAAACCTGGCCTTTTTATGACTTGTGGACTTCAACTCCCAGAATTCCTCAGCCATGCATGCTGGGAGTGAAGTCCACAAGTCATAAAAGGGCCAAGTTTGAAGAGCCCTGCCTTATTGTGTTCATTTAGTTTCCTGCGCAGTAGTCCTGATGTTCAAATTCTATACTGTGTCCTATTTCTTGTATTTTATAAACTCAAAAGTATAAGAGGGATTATTTGTGTATAAACTGATCCATTAAGGCAGAATCAGACCAAATCATTGACTAGAACTGTTACAGTGATTTACATTGTAATGACTACTTAAATTGAAAACATTTCCCCAGTTTATAATGCCCGAAGATATTTTTGAAAATGCATCCCTTCCCTGCTTTCTGGTTTTTCCAACCATTAATTTTGCAAGATCCAAAAAAATGGGCTAATGCTTCAGGCATCTCCTTTAATTAAACTTTGCTTTATATCATACAAAACATTAAGTGTGAAATTACAGGTTGTGCAAAAGTGATATAAAAATGAACAGTTGATTCTATTGCTCTGGGCCACTTAAAAATGGCTCTGAACTTTTTTTTTTTTTTTTTTTTTTTTGCAAACTCTCCTTAGGTAGAACCAGGGCTGCTAAACTGGATTATAAAGATTAGGACTGTAGGACAGCAGTAGGGAGATAATAGAAAATGCTCACTCTTTGCTACCATATTGTAGCTGTCTGAATCATTGTAGTCCAGATCTGGGAGTTGTATTCTAAACTTTATTTTGCGATGCAGTTCACATAATGAGCCCAATCGGATGCTTTGCTCGTCAATCAAGCAAATGACTACAGATCTAAATAAATATGTAGTTTGTGGTATACACAAAAAGCTTGCATCAACATAACTTCTTAGAATCGTATGTTAGCTTAGGCTCCTCAGTGGCAATATCATTCTTGGTTTGGTAGTTAAATTAGGACTTAGCCTATTCAGTTAACCAAATAGGTAAAATTTCAAACTTTCCCCCCAACTTCTTCTGGCTCATGAAATACAGATTTAAAGATGGACTTGATAAGGAAGCACTTTTAGTTGTCAGCAATATATATATATATATATTTATATTGTGGTGTGCATGGATGTGTATGTAGGTATGTGGGTTTATGCATGCGTATATATATTTGTGACAGCAAGAATATGTATCACTCTATCTCAATAAAGAAGAATTTATACTATAATAAATCCATGGGAATGTTTTTCAACAAAAATAGCAAAAGGATCTTTTTCAATTTCAAAAACCTAATAATTCCATGATGTCCTTTATGTTGTTCTTTTTCTAAAACAGCTTTACTAAACAACGGAGTTACCTTGAAATTCTTCATGTCTGGTGACAATAGATATCCTTCAACTATCATCTGGAAAGCAGATGCAACATTTTTCCATACCTCTGCTGAACTACTAGAGGTATATATTACATTTTTAAAGTTTATTACTAAAAAGCATTTCAGATGTTAGTATCGCCTTACCATGTTACTTAACACATGATACTTTCTTTCTTTCTTTCCTTTCTTTCTTTCTCTTTCTCTTTCTTTTTCTTTTTTTTCTTTCTTTCAGATTGCATTGCAAGTTCAAGGTATGGATAAACTGTTTGAGCAATCAGTTAGCCAGTCTGAACAACACTCTACCAAGCAGAAGATCAAAGATACCCAAGAAAAGGTATATTTATATATTTATTCCTTTGAATATAATTGTTAGAGGAAATGTTGGATAAGATTATTCCAAGAGATTTATTAGGAGGGCTGCCCTGCTAAAATCTTTAATCTGGTAGCAAAATTCTTCCCAGACTGATATTGCAATTTAAGATAATGTAAATCATCTGATCACTTTATTTAAGGGGTAGAATCTAAATATAGGTTGTCCTCAACTTACAAACACAGTTGAGACCAGAATTCCTGTTGTTAAACAAAACAGTTGTTAAGTGAGTCATGCCCAATTTTACGACCTTTTTTCATTGGGTTGCTAAGTGAGTCACTGTAGTTGTTCAGTGAATCAAGTGGTCATTAAACAAATCCAATTTCCCCCGTTGACTTTGCTTATCAAAAGCCAACAGGAATGTTTGCAAACGGCAATCACATGAGCTTGGATATCATAAATACGAGCTTGTTGCCAAGTGTCCCAATTCTGATCACATGACTGTTGAGGATGTTACTATGGCTAAAAGTATGAAAACTGGGCGCAAGTCACTTTTTTCAGTGATGTTGTAACTTTGAGAGGTCACTATACAAACGGTTGTTAAGATGAGGACTACCTGTAAATTAAAGTGGTCTTGAGGTATTGTAGAATCATAGCATGTCAGAACTGGAAATATCTTTCTGTAAAGTGAAATGTTTGAAGGGGGGATGCATAATAACCCAGAGCATTATATTGTCCACTGCTCTTTATTTACTTGAACTGACCCAATACTAAATTGCTCTCATTGGTTTGACTTTTAGTTCCCATCATACCAAGAAGTACCTGATAAAGAGCTCTCATTGGGTTTGTCAGTCAAAATTCTAGGAAACCACATTATGTATCTCGACTTTTCAGAAATGTATCAACATTTGAAGGTAAAGATGTCTAATACATTTTCACCATAAAATCCATATTGTTATCTCAGTCAGCTTAAAGCCTCTTGTCTCTTGACCCTTTTTTAGGTGGAAGAGTATAGACCAGCTGTGATCAAAGTGTGGATGAAATGTATTGAAATGTTTTTCAAATTTGTCAACGTTGAAATGAACCATCACTTTGTTCTAGATATGGGGCAGGTTCTTCCTACAGCTCCTGGTTTACCATTCCAAATAAATCTTAATGGTTTATTGGGAGCAAATGTAATCTGGAAAGGTAAGGATGGAAATCACCACAATTCAAAATAGCATGGGTAAATCATATATAGTGGGGCAAATGGCCAGGAATAACACAACTGAAAACTATTAGCAATGCAGGTTACCCAACCAGTCTGAAGCAAGCGAGATTTCTGTATGTTTCTGATAAACATATGTAATTTATAACCTAATAATATTGTAGTGCTTAAAATGTAGTTGTATTATTGTTCTTTATAAAGGCAACAATTGAGATTTCTTTCTCTATGACACACCATTTATTAGCTTAAAAATTTCCAAAGTGGATATTATCAGGCAATCTTGCTTTATTCTTGTTTTCTTGCTACAAAACTATAGAAGTACAGGCAATGTCATCTTTCACCTGTAATCTTTCCATCTTTTCCCATTCTTATTTTGGCTTCCCCCCCCCCTCCACCCCATTGTCAATTATATTATACATCATCAATTACACATTCATGTAAAAAAAATATTAGTATTAGAGGGCCCTGGTCTTTAAGTTGAATCATTTTTAAAATAATGTTTGTTTCTTGTAGCAAAATCAGAAATATCTCAGGACGATCACACCATATCCAAAATGCAATCACAACTTGACAGCAAAGTTCGGTAAGCAAAATAACATTCCTTTCTACTTTCCACCCTTCCTCCCCATAAAATAAGCAGAATTCTGCAGCAGAATGACCTCTATCCCCACCCCCACCTTCTCTATCACTGACATATAGACATACCAAATCAATGTACAGAAGTCAAAACTAGCCAAGCTGCTTTTGTGGCTGGAACCGCTAATCTCAAAGGCCTTTTAAATAACGAAACCTTTACCACTCTTTCATGTCACTCAAATCCTTTTGGTCTGAGGTGGTGTCCTCAATCTTCTTGACATTAGAATTCCCTCTGTTATTATAATCTGAAACCGTACCCTACTATTTCTCTTCTTCTATTAGTGTCCATGGTTTTGGAAATATGAACTGGGGAATTAAGACAGACGGTTTGGATAATGGAATAGAAATTTCCGCCGAGATCCATTCGGATACTGCACTCAAAATGAATTTTTCATTGGACATGCTACAAAACAGATTTAAAGTAGAAATTGATAATCTTCAAGAGAGACGTGATACACTGGTCGCAAGGTAGAAGAAGCTATTTTATAATTTGTTTAATATCTTTTTGTCATGCTACCTGCTGCATTATGTAGGGCTTTCATCTTCTGTATACTGTAAACATTATACATATAATTCAGTCATAGCTTACCAATTGGTGTAAACCAAGAATTATGGCTAGCTACCTGTCGTGTGCTCTTTCTCTGAGTTTTTTCAATTTTACTTTGTAACAATGTTCTTTCTGGTAGGTTTAATGAAAAATTATAAATATATATAATAATATTCATAAACCTTTGACTCAGTCTATTAAATATCTGGCCTAGAGCCATAAAATGTACCCGTTTTTCCTCCATCCTTCCCTCCCTCTACTCCTGGGCCTCAACAAGGAAAATTTCATCTTATTACTTCATTCTCGGGGTGCTTTGATATAAGAGTTTGTGTTCATGTTAACTTAGAGTATATTAAGTTACTGTGGAGTATAATAGAACACTTTCTTATTTCTCCTCACCGAATTTCTACTTAGCCATAGGGCACAGGCTGTAATAAGGTACCCACGTATTAAGGCAACAGCTCCGATTCTTCCAGACCCAATTGATATTGAAGAATGGGATGAAGAACCCGGCAAAGGCAACATCAAAGTAAATATTGTATTTGTTTATATGTGTCGACTGATATTTGGCGGTCTACTGTGCAGTTAATCTGACTGATATCACTTCTTAAAGCTATTTTTATTTTTGTAACCTTATTTAGAAATCTTAACATATTTTTGTTTATATTTAGGATTTTGTTATGGTTTCAACTTGTTCAAATACATCCTTTTTTAAATATAATGCTAAACAATATATTTAGAGGTACGTGCAAACGACAACGTTTGTCAAGCTTCTGATAGTGTATGTAGAATAAGGTATGAACTTTGAAAAAAATACCAATTAAAAAACTAAATTCATCTTATTATAGAACTGTTTCCTACAGAAGTATAATTGGCATACTTTTTCTATCCTAAACATCTGTTAGCTTGGTAGCTACAGAGGCACAGAGCTCCCAATTTTTTGGTTTTGCTCATACTACCCATAAGACCTATCAAGCTTTTACTATCTATGAGACTTAGGATTTTCTTTAACACCCAAGTTTGATTTCCATTTCTTGACATAGGTGAAATAGTAGACTATTATTGCTGAATTCTGACATGTCTATCTTCACTTCAGCAACAATCTAAAGGTGATCGCAGACCTCAAGAGCTTTCGGACAGTTGCTGGCCTCTAGCTTGGCTCCCGGTAAACATGTGCTGGAAAACCACCAAGACAAGAGGATATGTGCCCTACCAGAATACACTGATGCATGTGCTGTGCTCAGAACATGAAATGAAGTATTGGTTTGAATCAGGTATTACTGTCTGGTGAAATATTCAGTTTGTATACTTGGAAGTGTTCATGCTGATCACTTTCTAAAACATGTGTCTGCATTATAATCCATGCAGATCCTGGTATGACTAAGATCCGAGTAGATGTCAATCTAGACTCTGAAAAAATTAGGATGAGAAGAGAATTGGTGCCCGAAGAAGAAGAACAAGTAAAAGCAGAAATGCAGAAGGTACGTATAACACATGGAGGAAGGCACATTTTATACGGTCTACGTTAGCTAGGTATAAAACAAGGTGTTCCATATTTATTATTTATTCATTCAATTTCTATAGCTGCCCATCTCAGTCATATGTGAAAGATCAGTTTTCTCATGGGCTAAATGGATATTTGTATTTTGTCCAATTCCACCTTCCCTCTACTAATAACATAGCAATTCCATGGCAAAATATTACAAGGAAGAAACTCTTAATTCTTAAGAAACTGTGAATTCTTAAGAACAATTTAAAAGAAGCAATATTTTAACCTTCAACTGTGTTGTAGGGTGATGTCAAAGATCAGAAGAAACCAGACCAGAATACCAAGCGCCCAAATCAGGACACCACCTCTTCCTCTGATTCTGCTCCTCCAGAGAAAAAGGGACAAGACCAAAAGAAAGGTGGTACCAGCAGCAGCAGCTCCACCAGCAGCAAGGACAGCAAGAGCAAGGACACCAGTGAAAGCACCAGCAGTAAGGATAGCAGCAGTGAGAGTAGTAGTAGCAGTAGCAGCAGCAGCAGCAGCAGTGAGTCCCAAGATAGTGGAACAAAGGGTTCTTCCCAAACCCAGTCTAAAGAGAGTTCTTCCAGCAGCAGTGACAGGAGTGAAAGCAGTAGCAGCAGCAGCGAGAGTAGCAGCAGTGACAGCAGCAGTAGCAGTGACAGCAGCAGTAGTAGTGACAGCAGCAGCAGCAGTAGTGACAGCAGCAGCAGCAGCAGTGATAGCAGCAGCGACAGCAGTAGCAGCAGCAGTGATAGCAGCAGCGACAGCAGTAGCAGCAGCAGCAGTGATAGTAGCAGTGACAGCAGCAGCAGTGATAGTAGCAGTGACAGCAGCAGCGACAGCAGTAGTAGCAGCAGCAGTGATAGTAGCAGTGACAGCAGCAGCAGCAGCAGTGATAGTAGCAGTGACAGCAGC